ATCATTCATTCAATTCACATTTATCAAACGCATTTTGAATCTTTAAGTTCAGGATTTTTCTACGTCTTACACATAATTGCTCCACCAATAGGTACTAATTGATTGAACACAGCCATAATTCAGTGAGTACTCTTGTATTGTAAGTGCATCTGTCTTCCATTTGTAAAGAATCCAAAAGTCAACATTGCCGTGGGAAACTGCATTTTTAGTTCAAAGACAAGGATGTGACTGTTCTTAAAAGGGAAGCCAAGAGTATAGATATGAGAGTGATCGGAGTCAAGTTGGAACCTGATGCTTCAAGTCAGTATGCACAAATACTGTTACCAGAAAAATCAAAAAGCAGTGTTCCAGAGAACAGCTTTACACATATTGTAAACGTTTTGTTATCTGGCATGTTAGGAAACTAGAAGAATCAGTTCTAGAATTCTTAATAACTTCAAAGGTAAATTGCTTCTTTTATTTGCTCCCAAGAATGTTTGAGCTGAAGACATTTTTCAGCTCACCAGATTCAACACATTTGTTTTTATAGATAAGAAAATCAAGACACTTAGATGTCAGGTGACTTAGAGCTCAATTACTCAGGCTTGCTCTTTCCGTAACCCCCTTTTCCTGCTGTGAGACGCAGGGGAATTACTCATTCTCACATAGAAACTTCTGTGGGTGAATCCAGGTTGTGTTCAGTTCCCAGGGCCCTTGCTCTAACTCCAGTGCTTTCTTTCCTACTTAAAATTTAAAAACTAATTAGGCATTTAACTATCCTTTTCTTTTTCGTTACGAGAAGCACTCTTTAAAGAGGAAGTAACAAAACAGCAGCCCGAATTTGGCCAACAGTGTTTTTAATATTGAATTTTTAAATCGGGAGAGTTTGTGCAGAGCTCTGGATTTGCTGCTGTGTCAACAATGAGCCACATTCCCTATGGCAGCCCGTAGCTGGGAGCTCCTTTCCCCAGGCCACACACTCTCCCATTATCTGCCTGGCCTCAGAGGCTTGGAGGCACAAATTGCCCGGATTACAGGAACTTTGGCTTTAGCATTTTTTTGCCAAATAAACTGTGTATGAGGTTCTTTCTCTATATCTAACCACCTCCAGGATTGCGAATGTTCTTGAGTCTCCCCAAGGTTATGGTTAAGCTGAGGGTCCTGTTCACCTGACTGCACCTGTGAGGAGCTGGCAGATTGAAAGTTAGAAAGGTTCAGGCCACTTTGGTTTTAAAAACTTGGAATTCTCTGAGATTGCTATTTCTGTGCCTAAAAAGCTCAGACTTTTGCTCATTCAGAGACAAGAAACTTTGGCCTGTTTCTTCTGTGCTGGAGGCATTTGGGTTCTAATGGGATGCTGGCTAGCACAGAAATGGGCTTCCCCCCTTTCCTGTTGCTACTCAAAGGCAACAAACAGCATTACCTGGGATCTGGGGAGAAATGCATAATCTGGGCCTCGCTCGAAATCTACCAAATCCGACTGTGCTTTAAGGAGATCCTCGAGGGGTTTGCAAGCCCATTAAAGCTTGAGAAGCACCACTAGAGTGAGTAGTGGGAGATAACATTGCTCTTCTTCCTTGTCCTTGGGTCCTTTGCCCCCCAGCTGGCTCTATGTGCCACATGTTCTCCCTGCACAGACCAAGACTCCCCCACAGATGATGTGCTCCCCCACCACCCGCCGCCACCATCACCCCTAGGCCAGATTGCATTTGAGTTCATATCTGCTCTGATTTGCGAACCATTTAGCACTTTGGCTTTGCCAAGTTTATTTTCCCCAGTCCTTTTTATCCCTTCATGAAATTTTCAAATGGATGTTAAGCAGGGTAGAATATAGCCAAGATGGTTTGTGAATGGAAGTTTCTCCCACCCACAGGCTGTGTTCTCCGTCCTGAGTCATAAGTCAAGGATCAGGCAAGGCTACATAATTATTTTTGTTGATGAAACCCTACGGGGCCAAGATCTAATTTTCCTTCCTCAAAACAACACGAAGCCCCTCCCAGCCTGGCGGTTTGCCTGACCATCCCATCAGCGCCTGACTGCACCTCAGGGGGCCTGTTCAGGACATCAGAGGGCTGACTGCAAGGCCACAGCCAGTAGAGTGTCATGTGCCACAGTGCTCTCTGAACAGACCTCATGGTTATCTCGTAGAAAGTCTGCACTACAAAACTCAGAGTATTTCTCCAGCACCATATAGCTCTGTCCCAGCCAACACTGTTTCACACTAAAAAATAAAAGAACCAGAGTTAAGGATTATGTAAATATTACAAGAGACAGCAACCTAGGTCACCTGCTTATTTTTGAAGTAGGTTTACTTTGTTAGCTAAACCAGGTAGAAAACTTGGAGTATGCCTTAGTATCCCACAACACCCCAAACAGTATATTTAGTTTGTTCTGTTGCTTTTGGGTCTTCCAATAAGATGATGATGTTTTTTTTTCCTTCCCAGAGTTCACATCAAAACTATAAACTCTAACCATGGTCATGTCAAAACATCATCACTGTTGAAAATTATTAGGGAAATTGGGAATAGCAGAGGAGGAGTGGGAAGGGGTAGAAGCCAAAAGGAAATGAAGTATGAAGTACTTGCAGATAATTGCTATTTCTGACATAATTCTTTCACACAGGTTTTAAGATAAGTAATTGTTGAGGGGTGTGGAACAATTGCGAGTGCTAGAGGAGCCGTCCTGAGGGTGTCTGCCACATGAATATAGAAAGCAGTGTGCAAGGAAGACAAGCAGCTTTCTGGAAAATGCTTCCTAGAATATAGACTGGTGTTCCTCACTCTTGTGAATTGACAGTCAGGCTTTTTATTCAGTGTTGCCAACAGTACCAAAGCCTACCTCAACAGACATGCAGGTATGCATGGAAGGCCACGCCAGTGGTGTAGGTGTTTTAGGCTTCTGGTCCGAATATGATAGAACTAGAAGAGAAGATGGTTAGAAGAGAAGCACAGGCCTGTATGAGGAGGAATGTTACATAAGAACTACAACTCATCTTCAGAGAGCATTGGCCTAAGAACAGTCAGTGCAGGACCATAGAAAAGTTCAGTCATTCACCAATATTCCAACACGCCATTTTGAAACTGGAAGTAACTCCTTCATTCTTAGATCCTCAGAACCTCATGATTTTAAAGGAAGAAGGGATTGAAGGAATCTCGTCCAATTAACTCATGCCCCAGGAGAAGGGAGGTGAACTTTGTCTCCCACTGCCCACTGGGTGGTATTCCCTACTCTAATCCTCAGGCACAAAGCTGAAGGGTACAGATCTTGGTCCTGCCCCTCACTGTGCCGCCAGACCTTCTGGTATTGTCCTGGGGTCAGCCCTCTCCTAAGAGTCCCGGGTATGATGCCCTTGGAGTTGCACCCTGGCCCAAGCTCTGCTGCCTGCTCTGGCTCTGAGTCTTCTCTGTAAAGAGGATGAGATTGTGCCTCCAGAGGAATCAGGGCTCCCTTCTGTCATTTCATTCAAAATGTGTTCAAAGAAACAATCTCATTTCAATTTAATGGGAGGAGGTGTTTTTTTAAAAAACTGAATTAAGGTATCAAAATAGAACCACACAATTAAAGGAAATTGTTAACGTAGGTATTGCCTTGGGGTTTCTCAAATCTTGCATAGGAAAATATTTTTATTAGAACAAACCCCTTCGCAGATTACTAAAATTATCTCTAACAAAACCTGGTGATGGGATGCATTTAGAGATTTAAGAATTTCAGAAAATTATAAAGAGAAATATCAGCATATTTGGTTGTAATATGACTTTATTTATTTTGTCAATTAGTTGTTTGGCATGTTAGTTGAATACCTTACTCTCTTAACATTCCTAATGATAACCAAAGATGCTGTTAAGGTCATTAGCCCGCTGCTTTGGAGTGCTGATGCATTTGTGAATGTTCTCGGCCTGCAGTAACAGGTTATGGGAGGAATTGTTCCAGGGGCTGCGGGGGTAAGTGTCATATTATATGGCATATGAAATAAAAAGACTCCTTACAGAATTACAGTAGGAATATTGATAAACGTTCAACTATTGACAGGTGGGTTTCATTGTTGTTGTTGACTTGGTAGTCAAGTTTTCCCATGAAAGCTTACCTATTACCCAAGTTTTCTATAGTATTAACATATTGTTAGGTATGATTGACACTTTTAAGACTTTGTTCCTAGTACTGTTAGGGGATTTGGAAATATACATACCATAAAGAAACTTTTGATTTCTGCTCATTAAGTATGAAAAATTATGGATAACTTAGGGACAATCAAATTATCTACTCATATGGTAAATCTGGAAGTATTTCTAGGTTTCTTCTAATGTTAAAAAAAAAAAAAAGTAAGCTTGTGTTTAATGGGAGCAACTCCATGCACATTTGTGGTTTTGAGGAGAAAGTGTTTTTAAATATATTGGTTGGCCAAAGTAAGATAACTGAAACATGTTGAGTTTTTTTGTGTTTTTTTTTTAAACTTTGTAGCTTTGCTGCCAATCCCATTTCTTGCCCTTTTCAGTTTATGAAGTTATAAAAGGAATTGTTGTAAGTGTTCCTGAGAGATTGGGAGTACGGAGGGAGAAGTTTTGCTTCATTCCAAAAGAGATAATTCACGACGTTGCAACCGGGGGCACGGAAGGGATTCGTAGGAACTCAGTAGCATGTAATGAGCTGGAGAACCAGACTTGGCTAAGCCCTCATTCCTACGTTCATCTAGTATTTGCTGGGTTTTGAGCTAAGAAATGCCAACCGGGCGTGTTCAGAAGGCGGATCTCACCAATCCGGAGGCAGCTGGAAGAGTTCGCGCGTGGGAAACCTTAGCCCTTTCTTTCTTCCCAGCACAGCGTTGTGCTGCCGCGCGTCTGCACAGGCGGGGGTGCAAGGCCCGGGTTGTCCCCCTCGCGCAGTTGGGGAAACAGCTGCTGAGCTGCGGCCCGCGACCCTCGGCCGCGTAGGGGCGGGGCGGGGGCGCTGCGGGGTTTCTCTGTTGCTAGAGCCGTGATGTCACCCGCCCCTCCTAACCCGCGGTTGGTTGTTTTGTGTTTCAGCTCTGCCTGCAGTTGAACACAAAGACCTGGAGGAGACTCCCACCTCTTCAGGGAGAAGAAAGGAGGCAGCGAAGCAGATTAAAGGAACTTGTGGCTTGTGGCCTTTTTGTGCAAGGGCTGCCTGAAAGGGGAGAAAAGTGTATGAAAGCCACCGTGGCGGTTAATGAGCTGTGAGATGAGGCGCTGCTGCGGCCACTGCTGCTGACACTCGCTCCCAGGCTGCACCCGCTGCCCTTGGCGCTTCATGTACATGTGTCTATTCAGGCCGTGCGGAGGCGTCCAGAAGAGCATCCAACACGGCTGCCGGGGAAAGACCGCCCACCATGCCCACGGAGACCCTACAGACAGGTAGCATGGTGAAGCCGGTCAGCCCCGCGGGCACCTTCACCTCTGCCGTGCCCCTGCGTATCCTGAACAAGGGGCCAGACTACTTCCGCAGGCAGGCCGAGCCCAACCCCAAGAGGCTCAGCGCCGTGGAGAGGCTGGAGGCCGACAAGGCCAAGTACGTCAAGAGCCAGGAGGTGATCAACGCCAAGCAGGAGCCCGTAAAGCCCGCCGTGCTGGCCAAGCCCCCGGTGTGCCCGGCTGCCAAGCGCGCGCTGGGCAGCCCCACGCTCAAAGTATTTGGCAACCACGCCAAGACCGAGAGCGGCGTGCAGAGGGAGAACCTCAAGCTGGAGATCCTGAAGAATATCATCAATAGCTCCGAGGGCTCCAGCTCGGGCTCGGGGCACAAGCACAGCTCCCGCAACTGGCCGCCCCACCGGTCGGAAACCACCGACCTGCACCGTCACTCCTTCGCGGAGTCCCTGAAAGTCTACCCCACGCAGGGCCGCGGCAGCCCGCAGGAGGGCGGCTCCCACGTGAGCAGGAGACTGCTGGAGCAGTCAGCCGAGTCCTTCCTCCACGTGTCCCACAGCTCTTCCGACATCCGCAAGGTGACCAGCGTGAAGCCCCTCAAGGCCATCCCCTGCAGTAGCTCTGCCCCTCCCCTGCCTCCCAAGCCCAAAATCGCAGCCATCGCCACCATGAAGTCCCCCGAGGCCGACCCTGTGGAACCAGCTTGTGGAGTCAGCCGAAGACCCTCCCTCCAGCGGTCTAAGTCAGACTTGAGTGACAGATATTTCCGAGTGGACGCGGACGTGGAGAGGTTCTTCAACTACTGTGGACTGGACCCGGAAGAGCTGGAAAACCTGGGAATGGAAAACTTTGCAAGGGCTAATTCTGACATAATATCCCTCAACTTCCGCAGCGCAAGCATGATCAGCTCAGACTGTGAACAGTCTCAGGACAGTAACAGTGACCTTAGAAATGATGACAGTGCCAATGACCGTGTGCCGTATGGCATTTCTGCCATCGAAAGAAATGCCAGAATCATCAAGTGGTTATATAGCATCAAACAAGCTAGAGAGTCACAGAAGGTCTCCCACGTGTAAGACAGTGCGTGGAAAGGAGGGAGGGTGGGTCTCTGTGCTTACGCAGTTGTAAAGGTTGTGAGGTCTCCTTGAAGTGTTGTGAGCTTCTCCACTCTTTGTGTTGCTTGTTGTGCAATGTTTTCAAGTTGCATGCCTGTCAACATGGGGACTGACCTGGCTTCCACGTCACCATCGCTGCAGAGCCTGGCCTAACACGCGTCATCTGCCAAAAGTTTCAGGCCAGAATCTAATTAGGGCTTTGCTCTTAAGCAAAACTGTTTACAAGAAAATGGTATACGACTTCTTCAATATTTATGTGGTTCTTGTGTTTTTATATCCCGCGCTATTATGTCTTAATTAAAAGTTTTATCAACTGGCTTTTAAGTTGAGAGCAGAATCTTTTTGAAATAAAAAGCCACTTTGCCTACATGTGAGACTATTCCAATGGGACAGTAAATGGGATCTGCTACCAAACAGATAGTGACTGACCGCACATAGAACCAGGCTGGGTTTTCTGTGGAATAAAGTGGTGACCCTGACATTAATCGTTTACATGTTGAAATTCTCTTGCCACTTAGTGAAGTGTCGCTGGGGTAACAATGCTAAGTTTTGTGTCCGATTCAGTGTGTAAATGTTGGTGGTTCTGTGTAATGCTGACCCCAAGGAAAGACAATCAGATGAAATGAAGGATGGTTAAATCTAGGAAGTTGGGTGTTTAGGGGTTTTGTTGATGTTGTTCTGATTCGGGATATTTCAGAAATTTTTAATACTATCTTTTGACAGAATGGCCACCCTAAAACAAATACTGAATGCCTTTAAAAAAAAAAAAAAAAAAAAAAAAGTTGTGTTCTTTTTGTTTGTTTTTGTCGAGAACTACTAATTTCATGTTGTTTCTTTCTCTCTCCCTTTGTTGTTATTTGATTTGGGGGAAGGGAGTGAGGCTTGTGCAGGTTTGAGCTATCGGAAGACATGAACAGAAGTGAAAATACCAGCCATATCAGTAGAGCCTCCCATTCAAAAGTGAACACACTTGGTAGCTGAACCATATCTGAGCAGCGTGATTCTGTTGTCTTGCATATGTTACTCTCTCAGGCTGTGGGTCTTTGTTACAGCTCTAGGAAACTGTAGAAATTCAATGCTATGTAGCTTTTCCACCCCATGGTCTCTAGTGCTGCCTATCAACTTGTCCCCTTTTTTTCCCAATAACCTGTCTTTCAGGTGGTACAGTTAGCTGTCACTCAGCTGACTCTATGATGTGGCAGCAGACAGGGAAACCTACAAGTGGTTTGCCTCATTGCCTTTGCCACATCTGAAGTTCTCAGCAGCGCTACCTTAGTCTTCATCAGCTAATAGGAAACTTTTTATGGTGTAAATGCTGTAAGACTTTGTACATACTTCAGTTGTTATGAAATCTTTAAAGAAAAAAAAGAAAAAGTTACACTAATAAATTGCTCTGGTGCAGGCACTAATGGTGGTGGTTTCTCTTTGTCCTTCTGTATTCTCCTTCCACAAAAGTTTACCTTTGGACTATGAATCAGAAGCAGATTTTTGATAGTCTTGAAGAAACATTATTTCATTAAGTTATTTTCACCACATTCCAATTACTCCAAACACCAGTGTTCTTAATTGTGGCTCTAGCAATGTGCTTTTGCTAAAATGGTTACATCAGGGTTCCTAAAATGTGCTACAGCATCTCAATTCACACTTGTGTTATTTTTGTCTTTTCTTAAACATCAGGATTTTTTTACATCTTCCACATGACTCTCCAGTTGTAAATATTTATGAGTTCTCACCTTGGAGGCATACCTTTGAAATGTATGGCTTTGTTTTTATTTGTACCAGCCCAACATCCGTACCTTGGCATGTTTTCACACACTGGCTCCTCCACTCCTTCCTTCATTCCTCTTGAAAATGTCACTTGTTGAGTGAGTGACTCCTTCCAGGTATCATGGTAGGCACAGGACTTTCATAGTCAACAACACAGTCTCTGCCTCAAGGAACTTAGATTTTCCCCTTTATTTTAAGAGAAATAACATTCCTGTTAGTGGACATGTCCTATCTGCTATATTTGGACAATGAGTATTCCATGATTATTTATTACATCAAGTTATTTGAAAATTAATGTTTCTTGCAAAATTCCATATACTACGCAAATGTAAAATAAAGCCCTCTTTAAAAGGTAATTTTCAGAAACAAATTATATGATTCTCAACTATTACTGTTTATAAATATTTTCCTTCTCAAAAGCAAATAGGCTTCCTTGACTCTTTCTCCTGGTTTTGAATTCTGCCTGGTTTTTTAATTCATGTTCAGTAAAACTAAAACCCTGCTTCCCAGAAGAACTATTTTGGAATGCAGCTATGAGTGGGGATGATACAATGTGTTCAATATAATAGAATAAAAATAAGTTTTCTAAAAAAAAAAAAAGCAAAATTTTCTTTCCTACCATTTGTGTAGAAATGTGGCCTTTTAAAACATACATGACTTAGCATTGACATATTCATCTCTTTCAGTAGTATTCATCTCTTTCTAGAGCTACTGAAATACCAAAAATAGATATTATTTTCCTAAGGAAACCCTTGTCTGGGGAGATGAGCACTTAGCTAATTTACTATCACTGCTTGTGCTATTTGAGTCATAGACAGTTTTTGAATCTTCCAGTATTTCGCTACTGTGTGCAATCTGTATTCAGACAGGCCTATAAATCACCCCACTGTAATTCAGTCTAATCCTCTGTGGCCTTACTTGTACAACAGACAAATGTGAGGCTTTTGGTTCCAATGGAAGATGGGCGCTCTTTATTTTCTTTTTGTTCTTGAACTAGCATTTCTATAAAGAACTATTTTTTCAAATGCTTAATATTAAATCCTAAGAGTGTGGCATTTCTTTTGAAGTACTCTTTGTGACGGGCTCATTCCTCTAAGCTCATGGAAGAGTGTGTGTGTGTGTGTGTGTGTGTGTGTGTGTGTGTGTGTGTGTGTGTGAATACTGGTATAAATATGGTGTCACATAGTTCACATTTTTTTTTCCTACACGATGCAGAATGAAACATGATTGCACTAGATGGCCTTGGAAACTACCTGTTTCTTTCTGAAAACCACCAAATCTTAAGACAGTCCTCCCATATGCAACCCCTCTGCCATTGCCTTAGTTCATGTTCTCATCATCTCTTACCTGAACTGTTGATTCTAGAAGTTCCTAACTGGAAGTCTCCCTCACTCCCCAACTGGCCTCTTCCCCATTCCATTTCATGCCAGAAATATCATCATCAACTCTGATCATATCACTCCCCTGTGTAAAGACTTCCTCTGGCTTCAATAGGTTGCTGACAGGCTAAATCCTAACTTCCTATAACAGAGGGGCATATGACTCTCAGATCTTGGTCACCAAGCCCAGGCCCCCAGACTCCAACCAAAGGGAAGTTTCCTTTGGAAAATTTTCACCACTGCATTTCTCATCTATTATGTAACAAATTGTCCCAAAACTCAACAACTTAAATAAACAATTATTTTTGTAGTTCCTGTGGATCAGGAATGCTAGAGTGGCTTAACCAAGTGGTGTTGGCTCAGGGTATTTCACGAGGCTGCAGACAAGATGGCAGCTGGGGCTTGACTACTTCCAAGATAGCTCACAAGGTATTAGCAAGAGGCCTCAATTCTCTACAGCATGGGCCTCTCCCAGGGGCTGCCTGAGAGTCCTTATAACATCTGGTTCCCCCTAGAGGGAGTGACCAAGGAGAGGGAGCAAGGAGGATGCCACAATGCCTCATACAGTTCAGTGTCCTGGATCACACACATTCAATATGTGTGATGGCTGTCCATCACAATCAGTTCACTCGAACTGGATTACTAAAGATAGCCCACTCTCCCAAGGAGAGGAGTGAGGCACATATTTTAAAGGGAGGAATATCAAGGTAACTTGTGGACATATCTTAAAACTGCCATTGCTGCTGAGTTTCAGTAGCTCTTCACTCTGGAAGGAATGTTTTCTCCTCCCTCCCTGACCACACAGACACTTGCTCTTCCACAGTGCAATTTTTTTTTTTGAGTTTCCATGTTGCCTTTCCCCACTAGATTATATTTTTTGTCATGGCCATGACCCAGCCTTTTCTAGCCTAGATAGTGCTTTGTGTGAATTTTAAAAAGGTGTGCCTTCCTCAAAACATTATATTCCCTGCCAAAAAAAAAAAAAGAAATGAAAACATCCTAATAAACATGCAAATCTCTAATAACTGTGATGCAAACTGTGGTCCCAGAGTTGGGCAGCAAGCAGCAAACACAGAAGCCCAGGGTATATAATAGGTGCTTAATCAGTACGTACTGACTTTTTTTTTTCACGTTCACGTCCTATGCTAAACTATAAATGTCACCACAATAAACCCAAAGTGATAGTTATTGTCCCCATTTTGGAGGTGAAGAAACTTAGTTCCATGGAGATTATGCACCTTAACCAAGATCCCAGAGAAAGAAATTTGCGGAGTGGAACTTGAAACTCAACTCTGATTCGAAATGTTTTGAGGAAGGCATGCCCTCCCTACAGTCCAGTTGAAGATAAGAAGAGGCAAACTGAGTGTGTTATGCTTACACACAGAAGGGCCCTTACATTCATTTTGGTATTTTTAACTGATGCCTGTGTGAAAAAACAGTCCTCAAGCAGTCAAAATTTCAGCGATTTCATTCGTACCTAAATGGGAGCCCATAAAGTTAGAAAAAAGACTTCAGCTCTTCCATTGTGGGTGACACACAGCCCACTGAGTTCAAAGAGACAAGGACATTCGAATTGTGTGCTTTCAGTTTTGTGTGTGCCATATTTTAAAATCGCATCCTGTCTGTTTTGATCAAGGACTTTTAGAAGGGTAGAGAAAAATGGCCACAATTCAATTCATCAGGAAACACATTTTGACTATTTGGTGAGTCAGCATCACTGTGTTCTCCCATCCTTGCAGGTGTAGCTGGCATGTTCTGACCAGAAGGAGTAAAGAGGGTAAGGATGCTCCAGATAAACCGAGTAGATTTCTAACTCGGTAGTCAGAAGAGATGGCTAATCTCATCAGCATTTTGAACATGCCAAACCTGACTTGTCCACTTAGCCCTGTAAAATAACTCAGGTTCTGTCACTTTCTACAGTGCTGAACAAGAGCTGAGCTGGAAGGACCCCAAGCTGGGTGGCTGCATGTGTGGCTCTGCACAGGTCACCTTCGTGAGGGTTTCTCCTGTGTGTTCAGGTCCTGTCCCCTTGCTTTGGCAGAAACTCTGGAGAAGGAAAAGCCAGAAGGAGATGGGTCTCGGCTGCCTTTTAGAACCCCTTCCTCCAATACCTGGGACTCACCTGCCTCAAAGTGTGCCGTCATTCCCTCACCTGGAAAACGGTGGGAGGCCATCAAATAGATGTGAACCCTTGGCCTCACATCCTATGCTAAACTATAAACAACATTTGTAGTTTGTTTATAGTTTAGCATAGGATGTTTATTGCATGGATAACTGTTTTTGAAGCATTAGGATGATGTGTGAAGAATATGAGAATTCAGAGAAGACAGGGTTCATGGGCAAGTAGGACAGCAAGTGAGGTCCAATGGGGGCCAAACACTTAATGGAACAGCATTTTAGGCTCTATCTACCTGAGAGAGTGTTCATTGGGGAAGGAAATGAAGGGTTCTTTTCTAAATGGAAGGAATCTCCAGAAAAAGCCTCATTAAACTTTCAGATTGACCGAGGCTGACAGAATTGAATGTGGCCAAGTTCACACCAAGATACCATCCAAAGTTGTGAGGATAAAGATTATGATAGTCTTTTACTAGTTGAACATTCTTTTCATGTGACATTCATGAAACAACTATCAGCATGTCTTATATGGACACTATGCTAAGCACTTTGTCACATTATCTCACTTTATTCTCACATGAACTTTAGAAGTAAATTAGAATCCATCTTACTGATGAGGAAGCTGAGGATTAAGTTTCTTCTCCAAGGCACACATCCAGTAAATGGAAAAAGGGAAACACAAACCCAGGTTCATAAAACATTAAGACTCATTCTATCATACGAAAATGAATTTTTAATATCTAGGATGGCGGGAGCCACTTTTGCTTCTTTGCAGTAAGTTGCATCTCATAACATTTCTCAGAACTTAAAACACTGTTGAACATACTGGTTTGTGATTGTTTCATAGAGTGAGTGACTCAAAACTGTTGAGCATATGGGATCACATCAGGACCCATGTTTTTGGGTTCTTCTGAGAGGGACGTTAGTAATAAACTGTCCCTCTCCATGTTACTGTACAAAAGAGAAAACAGAGATTCAGGTGAATAAGGTGGTGGACACAGCCGGGGCTGTAGGGCAAGGGAACTGGCAGAGGGGCTGGAACAGGGAGACAGATGCTCAGACCCCGTGAAGGAGCCTGGATCAAAGAACAGTGGAGCCTCGCAAGGCTAACAATTCCATCGTGCCAAATAGGAGCAACCTGAAT